GAACGACAAAGAGTAATGATCCGGAGCCGGCCAATGCCGGAAAGGGCAGGTACAATTTTTAGTATGACGGAATACGGGCTTGGGCACCTCCCGTCCTACGAGGTACTCGGACGTGTCGATGCGTTTTTCGGAGATACAAGCGTTGACACTGTGTTTCTGTTCCACACGACCAAATCACGACCTAATTTGGTTTTCCTGTTTTGTGTCTGGGCTGTTCCAACGTCCTGGAAAACTGTGTCTGAGTGTTCCAAGATGCGGGAAAACTGTGCCTTAAGTGTGTCTTGACTGTATCAAACGATTCAGCTGCATCTAGATGCAGGGTAGTTACCCTTCCCACGACGTGCACGTGTCGGTGGGAGCACCGCGACGTTAATCAACGATGACAACTTAGACAAACTATCAGACCGCGTTGACATCCATTAGTGGGACCAGGAACCTTTGCCGAGTTTTCTTGCCGCTTCCGGAGCCGGTACCCCCACCATTTGCGACCAGGCGGGTCATATGTTCGAGCGTCCCCGAGCAGCCGGAAGCTGATCATCCCCGAGCGGACGCACAACAACGTATTACTCCATCGTTAAGAAACACCTATTACTATGTTCACGGACAACTCAACTCGAACAGACCACACCTTGCGTGTAATCTCTGTTTAAAAAAAAGGTAATGCTTGTGGCATAAACTGGCTGCTCGTCAGGCGGCCCGTACGGCCTACAAATCAACGCCTGAAGAGCTTAGAAAGAGCCCATCCGCGACTCGAGGCGCGACTCGATCCGGCGGATGGGCCCCGTCTCGAGCCCATGCGCGCGTTCTCCACTTCCCGCCACTCCGGAACGTTCCAGTTCGCTCTTCGTTCCAGCACTGGTTTCCATTCCTCGGGCACCAGCGCCGAGATTTCCTCGAATTCGGAAGCCTCTATCGGCCGGGTTGTAACGCCGTCGATTCTGTTTTGGGTGACCGGCTCGCCCGTCTCTTTGCACTCGCACATGAGACCTCGCAACGCGTGCTCCTGTTTTTCGCCAAAGACCTCCCGGCACAGCGAGACAACCGCCTCCCATGGAAGTCTCGCAATCATAAGCCGCGACATTAACTCTGCCTGGATTGTCGCCTCGGCTCGCCCGTTGTTCTCCGCCCCCTCCGGCCGCCATACCATCACCCGGCTCCAGCGACGGTGCCACCCGTAGTGCTTGCCTGAAACTGCCGCCGGCTTGCCGTCAATTTCAAACGCGCTCTTCGGTGCCAACGCCACAGCCATCACACTGCTATCACCAATTTGTATCGTCGCCACCTGCGCCACACAGTCGTCCAACTTCGGCTTGCTCCCATCTGGGTTTAACAACGCCGACAACAACTCACTACCCGGCACACCACTCACTTTGCCTTTCAACGCACGCATCTAATAAAAAAAAAACTGATAATCGCCAGTTCGATTCCAGCCCGCCCCTTTGGTCAAGGATTGCTGCACCGATCCGTAAGTTACGTATATGATGTAGCAAAGTCGCGATGAGGGGTCCAGCGCGATGTGTGTGTGACGCTTGGGGATGATAGCTCACATTACCACTCCTTTTTCTTCTCTAATTTGAGGCGTTGTCGGAGGGCCAAAATGTTGAAGGTGACATTTAGTCACGATTTATGTCCAGATAGGCTGTGGTTGGACATCCGGGTGGATGGGGGTTCGAATCTCGACGAGCTCAAACGCAAAGTTGAGCGCCACACCGGGACGGAGGCCGCTCATCAGAGGTTGGTCTTATTCGACCCGGAGGACCGAGAAGTGGGGGAGTTGATCGCCGGGCTGGCTGCCTCAGGCGTGGCCAAGGACGGCTATCGCATCCACGTTTTCGACGACGACCCCAACTCGGTGCTGCGGCAACTGGAGACGTCTCCGACTCCGCCAAAGTATCAACTGGACGAGGAGAGGTACAACGCCAGGACAGACACGGCCAGAGCATTTCTGAAAAATCTCCGAAAACATAGCGAAGACGCACGTCCAGGCAAGGAAGAGCGAGCTACAGCCAGGTCCGAGGAGGGTGAGTCCCAGGAGGTGAAGTTGTTACGGGCCAAGGTACAGAGCTCGTCCGTGGGGTGCACCATCAAGGCTACAGGCATCAACGGTCACGCCGTATGGACAGGAAAGATTAGCGAGTCTCTGGCTGCCCGCCTCCACCTATCGCCGGACAAGATTCACGTCGGTGTAGTACTGCCCAAGCAGCTCGGGTTACTCCACGGGGAAGTCCGAGACGAAGGCAAGATACTGTTCAGCTGCAAGGAGGACGAAAGCGCCGCTATGGTGCCGCTGAAAGACCTTCAACTGATCGATGAGCACATAACGGTTGACAAACAGGCCGCTCTGAATCCCATGGAACTGTAACCCGATAGACCCAGGATCGAGTCCCGCCAATGACCCGTGGGTGCAGTTCTTTGAAAAAGGATCAGAAGCAGTCGAGGAACCTGTAGCAAAGGCAGAGGGGACAGGGTGGAAAAGGTTCGAGCAGCGCGTTCGTTTCAGTGTTCCGCCAGGCCTCGAAAATACTGTCTGATGATGCGCTGCAAATTGGAGCTCGGCGGGGCCGGGTTTTGGCTGGTGCCCGGTATCTGATCGGGCCCAGTGTAGAGCGGTTTGTGAGTTGCTTGTTGTTGTGTTGGTGACTGTCGGTTTGCGGCGCCGACAAGATGCTTGTTATTGGAGTTCCATTCGGCATCTGGTATGTCTCTGCGTACTTGTGTCAATAGGGCGTTCCGTAGATCAGGGTCTGGTGTGAGTGCGGCATCTGTGTCTAGGTCTTGGAGTGGGAGCTTGGCGGGGTGGATGACCAAGACATCGTCTACGGCGGACAGGTGCCAGTCCGTGCGGGGTGAGTCAACGAGCGCGCTATGTGCGGCACAGACGGCGATGACCTCCATGCCTAGGAAGTCGAGAACAAATGAAGTGCGCACCGTAAAGTAGGTGTTTAGATCGTGGGTTCGAATCCATGCTGACCCATTTTTAACCAACACGTCCAACAACCGCTCCGCCACCAGTCTAGACAGGTCGTTCGGCCAGGGCTGCTCAACCGGGGGCTTAATTAAAAGATCGTGACATGCCTCCGTCGCCAACGCCAAGAGGATCAGAGTGCTGGAAAACATACTATAAGTTTCCACCAGAATTTTTAATGCAAAGATCGACTCATCTTCTGCTCCTCTTCGCCACCGCAGCGGCCCAAGCACTGTAACCACACACATGACCACACACATGACCACCGGGTGTTGAGAGAAGACACACGGCACACCATGGAAAGCAAGCGGGAAAGCAAGCGCTTGTAGGCCGAATAAAGAGTATGCCACTCAAACGATCATGACGAAACCAAGTCAAGTAATGATGGCCCTCGTCGGTTGTTTCTTCTCTCTCGCTTGTTGGATAGGTATGCATCCCGCACTCATCGACACGCCGCCACTCATCACGACATGCGGGTCATCACGCTCGTGCACTCATCATCGTTTCAGGAGTTTTGGCGTTATTCTCTGTCGACACTCCCTCCATCTATTTGGAGAAGACCCCTCCCATTGCGAAGGAGTTCTAACCGCTTTTCACCAGACTGCCTCGCTTTTCCGGCTAACCGGACGGTGCTAGCTAAGCGGACGGTCCTATCTAACTAGGACTGGAAGGGCTAACTAGCCGGGGCAACAACGCGGTGATCGATCGAGCCGACGACCAATCGGTTTTGACAAAAAACGTGCTCCATCCCGCGCATACCTCCATCCCGCGCATACCTCCATCCCGCGCATACCTCCATCCCGCGCATACCTCCATCCCGCGCATACCTCCATCCCGCACATACCTCCATCCTCGACTGCAGTGATTCTGTCTGTCCTGAGCAAACAGGTAGATATTATTGGGCGTTGCGATTTGGTGGTTCGTCGAACTGTGGTAGCTGCACGAGTCCAGAGTCGTCTGTTGGTAGGTCTGGTGGTGGTGGATGGCTGACATCGCCAGGACGGTTGCGTAGTATGCGAGCGGGAGCTGGGTCGAATTGTGGTAGTGGAATAGCTCCGGGTGCGTTAGCATTGGTATTGCGTGGTTGTAGTGTCCATGATTCATAGCCTTGAAAAGTTTCCTGTGGTTGTTGTGCTGCTTGTACTTGTAGGTATGCTTCATGACGTGCTGCAGTACCACGATCGAACATATCAATCGCTACCGTTCCCGGTACATTTTGTGCATCCAATACATTTCCACAGTCCAAGCACACGTGTTCGATACGCGCACCTGGCGTTGTTGGTGCGGCTCGTAATGCACGTCGTGGACGTCTTCGAACACAACCACAACTTTCGAACAATGGTGCCAAACATGGGAACAAATCTTGAAAGTTTATCAACAGATCATCCACTGGTCTTACACGACTAGGACCAGCACGTGTACCCCATACCTTAGCCGTAGCCGCACCCCGATCCCAATCACCTTCATCATCAGAATCAATTTCCACGGTCCTTCCTAATCTATCACGCAACGCAAAATCCTTTCTTGAACTTGCACCACGCGGAGATGCCCTTGGTGAACTTGGACCACCACCTAATTGACCTAATGCACTAGCCACCCACTCTCCAAACCCACCCTTCTTCACCGGGTGATGATGATGATGATGTCGATGACGAGCCTTCACAGGTGACACGGACAATGGTATGCCTCCAGACATACCTGACTGAACAGCCGCTTCGTTCACAACACTTGAGTATGCCGGGGTCACCCACTGTTCTCCTGTACCCGCTGGCGCTACATGGACTAGTCGCGATGAGTCGCCCAATGCTCCTTGGTATTGCATGCTGTCTGCTCCACTGTTCTGAAATACTACTGCCATTGACAGGTTTCCGAAATTCCCCCTCTCGGGCTTCCTGAATTCCCAAAGTCGTTGACGGTGCAGCCACCGTTGACGGTGCAGCCACCGTTGACGGTGCTTGGTCTTCTTTGTTGGTACTTACATATCTCCAGAGGCGACGAACAACGAAATAAAAAATAAGGGGATCGCAGCAGCGAAGCCAGCACGAAAGATCTACTTTGTTTCTTTTTCGTGGGAGCGCGTAGGTTGTGTGATCTTTCAAACACACACACCAGTTTGTGTATCGCTTTCCACCCACACAGATGTGCACCACACATGTGTGTACCACACATGTGTGGTGTATGTCACGGTGTGTTGTTCGTTAGAGTATCCAATGGTAGTGATCGCAAACGGTCATGAAGAGTGTAGCTTGGTCAGGTGGGTTGGTGTTGAGAAGTGGCCAGGAGATGGTGCATTGTAGCCAGAGTCGATGATGTAGTTGGAAGTTATCATTTTTGAGTAGTTCAACTCGTCTGAAGAGTGCATCACCTTTTTCTCGTGAGACGCAGCATCGGATGACGGCTTTGAGGAATTCGAAGAGACAGAGTGGTCCGGCGCCTTGTGCGGCGTGGCGGAAAGTGAGTTCACCTTCTTCTTCGGTAGCATCAGCGATAAACACACTGGTGTTATTCCAGCCGGGTATGTTGCCGGGTGTATTTCCAGGAGGCCGTGCACGTGGTGCGCTTTTGGAGACTAGATGTACTCCTGTGCTACGAACGTTATGCCGAAGTTCGAGCATGAATTGTCCAAGAGTTAACGTCTCAGCAAATACTTTAGCATCACGCACTAAGTATGATATCGAACTCGTGTGTCTTTGAGGCTGTGTCGGATGACAATATGCAATATGTTTCGCCGGTAAATCATCGAACGATATGCACACGGTTGTCTGAGCCGCGGATACACCAACCTGACCCAACGGAAGATTCCGCGATAACTCTTTTAGCAGAGGTCGGTATGTCGAACGGTCACGATTTACCAAACGGTTATCGAACAGTAACAATTTCTCGATTGTATGTCTCCACAGTTTTAAGTTAGTAGAGATCTCCGTCAATGCGAACAATGGCTTCAATAAACCCAACACCGCACAATGAACTTGTAACTGACAACGACGACATGTCATGCTCCAACGTACTATACTCAACAAATCCAAATAACCAAACACGCGTAACCATAACCCACCATCCAAACGACTCACTAACGCCTGATGTCGGATATTGTGCAAAACTGGTGTCAATAAAGGACCAACACTCTTACCACCAACACTCTTGCCACCAACACTCTTGCCACCAACACTCTTACCACCAACACTCTTGCCACTCCTTCCAGCTGCGCCCTGCCCCTGCACACTCGAAGTCTTAATCGGGGCCGCACTTCTCTTGCCATCCACCGTCTTGCCATCCACCGTCTTGCCATCCACCGTCTTGCCATCCACCGTCTTGCCATCCACCGTCTTGCCATCCACCGTCTTGCCAGCCACCGTCTTGCTCTTACCAGCCACACCCTTCTCACCTCCGCCTCCGGCCTTCTCCCCGTAGAGATCGAAGTCCTCGTAGTTTGCCAACGGCGCCCGAAATGTGTTCATTATGCACCTTCCCACAACACAGACCTTCCCACAACACAGACCTTCCCACAACACAAGCACGATGGGGCACAACCGCTCACACAACAGCCACCGCGCTCAGTCACCGAAACCAACCGGACGTCCTCGGTCTCGGCACCGGATCGACCACTCTCCAGCCAAGCCACCACTCTCTAGCCCACTGTCTTTATACATCTTTGGTTGGTTCCGAATCGATATTTTCGAACACATGTTCGCTCTTGCTCGCCTCAAGAGTCCCGCACGGGATTATCATGGCAACGTTGTTACTATTGAGCAGAATCTACAACACACCCGTCACCCCACCCTACCCCACCCTCCTTCCTTACCCTACCCCACCCTCCTTCCTTACCTGTTGAGGTGAATTCAGTTTCGGGTTTTTGCTAGGGGTGTCATTAATCCATAGACACTCAGTGCAGTCTTCAAGGATCAAGTTCATGAAGTCATCGAAACCTCGGAGCAGTCCCTCGATCTCATGGTCACCACGCAACAACAATACCAATACACGATTCCCAATTGCCTTGTCCAGGACTGCCAGGGGCAACAACATTTTCGGGCCAAAAAACCCCCGGGCGTAAAAGTGTCTGAAACAGTCAGTGAAAAGAGGACCAGCTCGAGGAGGCGGACTGCGCCATGGACGACCTACTCTGACGTCCAGCTGCAGCTCCGCGGCTGTCGCCGTTATGCTGTGGGTCCTGGTCTCGACCGTCCTGGTGTGAGTCCCGACTGTGGTCTTGTTCTTCGTCGTTTTGGGCGGGGTCGTCTTCGAACGCGGGGTCGTCGGATTCCGACAAGGGTGGTGGTCTGCTGGCCCACCAGGCGTCAGTGACGGAAGAGGTGGATCTACGATTGTCGCCTGGTGCGTTTCGAGCCCGGGGTTTGTAGGTACCAAGACGATTCGTATTAAGAGTCAGTGGGAAGATAAAGCCTACAGAAGCCAGGATCGCAGCAATCAGATGTCGCGATAAATCGAGACGCAACTGCACGACACTCATCACCCAAATCGCAACCGTTGCAGCAAACAACAACTCCGCCACCACGCGTCGCTGCGCATTCCCGCGAAGTCCAAGCGACGCCACCGCACTGGCAATCGTCTCCGGCAAAGTCCCAACCACCACCGCGTCGCCTGCCACCGCCGCGTACCGGACCGCCACTCGGTCAGACTACCACAGATGGGTGTATAACTGCTTTGCGGCCAGGTAGTACCTGTGGGGGGGGGCACGGGGGGGGACTACGCAGCGCCAGAGAGGGAGGGCGAGAATACACGGTGGTGAGAATTACATGATTGAGAGCGAGGTTGTGGCAGATGACCGTAGTCAGAGTGCCGAGCCAGAGCGCGAAGAGACGCGTTTTGTAAACATTGAGATCTCGTACTTCGCGCGCAAAGACGAAGTGTGGCAGCCAAATGAGTGCCGTGGCAACGTCTGCAGAGCAAAGGGTGGGGAGAAGACCAATGGTGTGGGGTGGGTAGTTACTTTTGGCGAGAAGTAGTCCGGGGGTGGTGAGGATGAGGTGGTTGTCTAGAGTAGCGAGAATGGCGGCGTGTATAGCGCCTAAATAGAAGAGGAAGAGGACGAGATATTGGCTTGCGTAGAGAGCGGCGCGTGTGCTGCAGGCTCCGCATCGTGGTGTGTGACAGGCGAGTGGCGGAATGCCGGTCCACCAACTAGCGGCGGGTTCGAAGGCGGCTGGAAGCAGTAGACGTGTCAGTAGTTGCATTCGCGGTGGGCGACGTAGAAACGGAGCGTAGTGGTTGGCGGCCAGCAATGCCGTAACGAGACACACGTCCGACACCACCAACTGAGTAGGCACCACCCGCACTCGCTTCACCCCCTGCAACCACGCCTCCGCGGGGTCGGTTGGCCCCCGTGCGTCGGTACTCACGCCCATTCCCAATGTGGTGCCGGCGGTGAGCCAGTTGCGTATGCGAGTGTCTTGAAGTACGAGTGCGAAAGACTGGGCACCCAGTAGGAAGCGAAGCAAGTTGTTCGGCGAGAAAGCGGTAAGGGCGGGAAGTCCGAGTCCGGTGCTGAGGATCAGGAGGGTTTGGCAGAGAGTGCGCGCACGGAGGTTGTGTAGTAGCGTCCAGGCGACGGCGTGCGCGGCGGCACAGGCCACACTAACCACAGTCGCACCGAGACGAGAATACGTTAACGCCGGCGCCGCCAGCAACAACAACAGGTGTATCGGCACTGTCAAAACCTCCAGGTCCACGGCCCAATTCGAAGCTCCGCCCCATGACCACGCTGCCCCCCAACGCAACAACCAAGGCAAACTCCAGCCACAGCCCAACGCTGTGAACGCGATACCCCAAACCACACGCCACAAACGACGCCAACGCACACGATTCCGGAACAACCACACGTCCATCCAAAACGAGAAACGAGTACGGAGTGCGTGTGAGGTCTGTGTCTTGACGCGGTTTTCCAGTGGTTACCCTTTGGCTCCTTTCACTCTTTCGTAGCGGTTTGCTACTTACAGGTTCCTTTGTAAGTTTTTCATGGGTGGTGGCGGGGGGGTAACGTCATGGGTGGTGACAGCGGGAGAGGAGGTAACGTCATGGGTGGTGGTGGCGGGAGAGGAGGTAACGTCGTGGGTGGGGAAAAACTATAGGGTGAGGTTTCGGGCGACGGTGCCGGTGAGGACCATAGCGAAGACAATGAGGCCGAGCATGATACAAGTGAGACGCCAAAAGATGTCTTCACGTTGCTCCAGCCCGTTTTCGAGATTCATTCCGAACAATCCTGCCACGGCAGAGACCAAACTGAGCACGACGCCGATTACTTGAAGGGCAATCTCGATTTTAAGCAACGTCGTCCGCGTCGTCGCCAGTTGCAACTGCATCATCTGAATCGTGAGATCCAGTGCGTCATCCGCGTCCTCGATTTGCTGAATCAATCCTTGAATCTAAGAGGTTAGATGTTAAAGAGGTTAGATGTTGTTAAAGATGTCAGGCGTTAAACATGTCCAGAAAGAGAAGGGCTTACATCTTGTTGGTAGCTCTCAAGAAGAATTTCTACATCTTCGGCGCCGGGTGAGTCTGTGGGTTCATCCCATTGGTCAGGTGCAGATGAGAAGCGTGATAACTCTAGGCGGCGTATGTCCTCTTCTGACCCGAGTACTTCAGTTAAACATTGTGCTATTCCTTCGGCTTGTGATGCTGCTTGTTGAAGTAATTTTTTCAGTTCGCGAATTTGATGTAACTTGCTTGAGCTTGAAGCAACGGATGACGAACTGGTTCTCATATGGCTGACAAGATCACAAGCTGGTCCCGTTTCCTCTGTAAGGCTTCTGATGACTTCGAATAGAATGCATTCCAATGCTAGGAATTCGAATGGTGATGCATCCTTCATTGCAGACAATCGTACTAATTTGCGTACTAAAGTTGATACACCATCCGAGCTTGCACCTTCATCATCATACTCTTCGTCTGGATTGAATGGTGACATCGCACCGCTACCTGCCATACTACCTGCCATACTTGCCACACCTGTCATAGCACCTGTCATAGCACCTGTCATAGCACCTGTCATAGCCCCAGCCATCGCGCTCGAAAAGTGAATCCCACTCCACACGTATCCCGGAGGCGCCAGTCGCTTAGACTCGACCTCTCCACGCGCCGTCTCCAATAACGGCTCCAGTAACGGACCCTTCGCCGGGCCCGCGATCTTCTGTAACTTGTCCAAAATTGCGTGACTCGCATCCCGCCTCATACAACCACCCCGCGAAGGTGTGTCCGCCAACTCGCCGCCCGATATCAAAATCACCTGAAACACTTTGAAACCTCACACACTTTCACACTGTGTGTGGCAACTACACACTGTGTGTGGCAACTACACACTGTGTGTGGCAACTGTGTGGAAATTTGGCACAAAACTGTGGAATTAGCGACTGACTTTGTCTTGTATGATCAACGCCTTGATTCCCTGAGGCATGTTCATCAGGACGCAACCGCGCCTGAGTTCGATAGAGGGCCTTTGACTCGCGAAACCGCCGCTGCAGATCTGGCGAATGTCTCTTAACTTGATACTGCCGCTTCGCGTCGCGTTGTCGCCGTCCAGATCGGCGGGGCCATCGGAGCGTACGCGGCGCAGTAGTTGGCTAGCGGTGAAGTACTCACGTTCGACCGCGCCATTTTGGATAGTAAGAACAGAAAGTGGCTTACGTCGCGCACAACGCTTAGGCGTAGACACCGGTTCACTGGCAACGGGACGCCAAACCTGCTGCGCCCAATGCACGTCTGCCGCCGTCTCATCCGGTTCAGAAGCGCTGCTCTCACGCTCACGACTCAGCACAACCTCGATCCCGACGCGAGCCGGCGACTCAGGCGCGTCCTTTAGAGCTGGTCGTAGCAACACAATTGCGTCCGCCTCCAACTCACGTTCGTGCACGGATCCCAGCATCCATATTTTCCAGCACTTTACTGGGCCGACTTTCCGGACCAGCACCACAATAATACCGGCCAGAAGACAGCTGCAAACTGTGTGCCATAGTCAACTGTGTGACAGTCAACTGAGTAACACCCAACAGTGTGCCAACAGTGCAACAGTGTGCCGTGATGACAACTACACGTAAGGTGCTTATGTCGGGTGTTCCCGACTATCGGTCAGTTGGTTACCGGTCGAGACGGCTTTCAGTGGCAGAGGCGGAGAACGTGTCGCCTTGTTCGGAAGGCTACCTCGACGCGACGCCGTTGCCGCGCACGCAGGAACGTGAGCGACGCGGGCCAGGGCGATTGCTGCGCACGGGCGCATTGCTCGCCGCACTGTGGCTCGCGATTCACTTGCTCGGCCGCCGGCTCGACCCCACGCGTCTCGCACTCCTTGGCCCCGTGACGGGGCCCCGGGTGTCCCTCGACCCGGCGGGGGGTTCCCTTCAGCCGTCGGGTTCTGTTCAAAATGCGGACGCTCAAGATCCCCCTGCTGTGGGCAATCAAGGTGCTACGCGCGCCGAGATTCGAACCGGAGTCTGGCCAGTTCCGAGTTTGGAGCAGCGCGCGACTGAGTACCTCGCAGTCATGGAGGAGCTGCAAAGCGTGAAACGTGCAGTGAGCGGCATGCAGCTGGAGCTGAATGTGCGCGCTGCACAGGTCGAGGCCCAGGCGGCGGCGCGAGCGACGTCGTCGGACTCGGTGGCTGAGGGTCGCGCGGAGGCTAAGTTGGCGGAGGTGGAGGCGAGGATGTTGGAGGTGGCGACGCAGGTATCAGCAGCCAAGCAGGCGGAGACGCGTGCGGCGGCGGCGGATCAGCAGATCGGTGAGTTGAAAGCGACCATCCGTGCGTTCGAATCCCGGCTGGCGCAATTGGATGCAGAGCACCGCAAATTGGAAGAGGCAGCGGCGGCTTCCACAACAACAGTCTCTAACTCACTGGATGGACACGGACAGACACGAAACGTGGCGAACAGCCGGTTAGGTGCGGCTGTGTGGTTCGAGAGAACAACGCCGGTAGCCAGTGGAGGTGTGTGGGCACCGTTGGCAGCGGCTGCACAGAAGCTATCGACACGATATGAGGGGGCGGGTATCGCCCTGCGCCAGAGCAAGATGAACCGTCCCGAGACCGTTCTCGACGAGGCGCCTGTCCGTGGTTACCGTGATGGTTTCTGCACACTCGAACCACTTGCTCTCGGCGTACATCTCGCCTACCCTCAGAAAATTAAAGCCTTACAATTTGAACATGTGACCGGTCACGACCATGCACCTGAAGCTGCCCCCAAGGTCGTCCATGTCCAAGCCTACACTGACGTCATTAGTGAAGACTCTCCTGTACATGCTACCTCCTACACCAACATTCAGTTCGACACTCACGGTGTTGCGCGCTTTACCGAAAGACTTCCCGAAGAAAAAATCACTAGGTAACGAAAGGAACACACTAGAGGGGGAGACACACACTGTCGGGATGACACCGTTTTGTCGCAGGCTAGCGTTCCAGTTCGAGCAGCGAGAAGGCAGTATGTGCTGTGTGTACCGTATAAGAGTTTTCGGCACCTTTTAGAATGAGTTCTGACGGTAGCACAACCGGACAGACAGACAGTAGTAGTTCGAACGACGGTGGCGGAAACCCCGGTGGCTTTGTGTTGACAGACAGCTAGCTAGGCTTCCAGCGCTGCGTTGCATGGTCCCCCCCCCCCGAAAAGAGAAAATGATCTTTAGATAACACCCGAAAATGAGGAATGGCCGGAGCTTGGATTCGAACCGAGGCATGGTGGGTTCGGACCTCGCATGTGAACACGGTGTGTACAATGGACAATCCGTACATCGACTCCGTCTGTGTTAACGGGTCTTCGTCGGTGCCGGCGCCAGTGACCGTCGGGGTGGGTGGGAGGTCATAAGATCTGACCGAAACAGTCGTTTGTAGAGTTCCTGTGAGAAAGCTTTGTTGCGCACGATGTGCGTTATCCCTTTGTAAAACAATTCACGCGAGGCAGTGTCTTGTGGTTGGTCTTGTGGTTGTAGTTGGTCTTGTAGTTGTAGTTGGTCTTGTAGTTG